TTTTATGCTTAATTTTTGAGACAGGATCTTATGTAGGCTAGGCTAGCCTGGAATTATGTATCCGAGGCTGGTTTTGAACCGATCCTTTTGCTTTCAATCCCCTTCCCACACCAGCTGGGATTACAGGTTTGTACCACCCGTACAATACTAATGTAAAATATTGTACATTATTAATGTTACTGGACAATATTAATGTGATCTTTTCTTAAAGTCTGTATGGTCTCTCCCACCCTTCCTTTTTTCTTTCTGCTTTCTTTTTGGTATACGCCTTTCTCAGCCTCAGAAAACACTTAGTACTACCTCTCCAGGTGTGAAGCTAGCCAAAAGACCCGTGGGCTACACACTTGGGGCCCTTGGCGCTGACTGTTCAAATCTTCCTCTTCTATGCATGTGGCAGGCCTCTGACCTGCCAACTCATAGGTTTACAACCTCCCCAGTCCCGAAGGTACACCAGTCAAGTTAGCGTCTCTGCGTCTCTGCTGTCCTTATGGCTAGAGGTGCCACGGAGCAAGCTCTACACAAATGAAATCTGAGAGGCACCTAATGCTAACACTTAAAGATGCCTTCCTAGAAAGAACACGAAGAAGAAGAAAAGTCTGTCTGCCAAGTTTGTCTGTAGCGGTGCTGGAGTGGAGCGTGGGGCATCCGCAAGGGACACGCAAACCTAAGGGCAGAGTTGACTTGAACGGATGAGGATCCGTGGACAAAGCTGGGTTTGTTTTGCAAAGCTCGGAGTTTACGTTTCGGTTGTTTTCACGGAAGAGTTGCAAGTCCCTCAAGATGTCATTTGACCAGGTTCCGGGGCAGGTACTGGCATTATCGGGCTTGGAAGACGCGGGCACACAGCACCTAGCACGTCCGAGTCTAGAGTTTTCACGAGTTCTGTCGCTGCCCTGGTGGCTCTAGCCTCCCTTAGGTCAGAGTGGACTCTAGATCTAGCCCCGACCACACGCTCCTCCCATTCCTTGGCTGGAAGCGCTCAGCCTGGCTGGAGGGGATCGGGCAAAAGTCGCAGAGCTCCCGAGCTAGCCCTGGCTTGGTCACAACCAGCGTGGCCTTAGCCAAGTTCCCTGGGCAAGTCCAGAACTTGTGTAGAGTAAGTGACAATACGTAGATTGGAGCCTAACACAGTCCTCCACACCCTTCGACTTTACAGAGATTGGGTTTCTTGGCTCAGTACTATCCCTGCACCCACCCTAGCCCCCAGTGTGGGCGTGGCCAGATCTGCAGAGGCTGGAGAAGGAATCTCGAAAGCCTTAGCAGGCTGCCCAACCTGTTGCGGAAAAAGTTAAGGGTGAGGAGATCTACGGTGCTCCCTCCCGACTTGGCTTCCCTAGGCACTGTCTCTTGGCCCTCCTCTTCCCCCTCATTCCATTCCTCCTGCAGTCTCCTCACTTTTCTCAATATCCAGATGTTTGTTGAAGGGTGTTTAGGACAACAAACTCTATGGAATGCATTACAATAACAAGGCAAACTGAAGTTCAGGGGTTGTTTAAGGCCATTTGACCCATATGGGGCAGGAGTCAAGCTAGGGTTTCAGAGCTCTGAACTGAAACTGTTAATTGTGGATAAAAAAGTAATGGGTTTTAAAGTAAAGTCCACGTTTCAGAGCCATCTGGCTAGCATATTCTGAATATGGGTCTTTTGCTCAGCGCTAGGTGCTTAAGGGGAGATCAGATTAATAAGGTCTGCCTCCTAAGAAAGACTAACATTTATTCTACATCCTAGGAGCTGAAGACATTTGGTCGATCCTGAAAACTTTCTTGTCTACTTTAGAAATTCTCCCTAATGGCAAAGTTATCTTTTGAACCTTCTCCTGTTTTTTGTTTCCAGCTACATATAGTTTTTTTTTTTAAATCATGGTACACAAATTATTTTGGTCCATTCATTTCACATATTTTAAACTTTTTTTTGGAGGATTGAACCTAAGTCCTCGTGCACACCCAGTAACAGCACTTTAGAGCCACGGCCACTCCTGATACAGTTTGAAAGCACTTTCTCCGAGTCTTCAAGGCTATCGTTTTCATGTTGCCCACTGTCTTCACATGGCCATAATACACCTAGTCTCTCTTATTGTTGTTGTTTGTTACCTATTCGAGCTTTTTGTCATAAGTAGCTGTAGACACAGGTCTTTCCTTTTTTTAAAGCATGCCTTTGGAATCGGCTCCCTGGGAAGGTGAAAAGCATAGGTCTTCTTCTGTAGGCCTGAACTGAGGATATTTAATAACAAAGTAGACAGGGACAGCCCTCACAGATATTCCATAGTGTACCCACTCCCCGAATCTGCATACAAACAGAGCTGTTTGCAGTAAAGACATATGGACACCTACTATGCAACAGATTCATGTCAGCAGGAAACCCAGGGTGACTAAGAGGCAGGCCTTGCCCTTGGGGAGCATAACAGCTGTGGTTTTCCAACTTTCTCTCATTAGGACACAAAAAAACTCGAGACTGCTAAATAGGTGACATTTGTTGATGCCACCAAATTCTGCAGAGACATGAAGCACTAGTGTCCTTCCTTTTAAAAAATATGGGTTATTGAATGAAGTTATTCTTTCATATAAACATGGTTACACAGAGCCAGGCATGGTGGCTTTTGTCTGAAATCCTAGCACTTGGGAGGCAAGGGGCAGGCAAATCTCTCCAAGTTCAAGGCTAGCATTGGTATACAGTGAAACCCTGTCTCAAAAAACTCTAAAACCACAAGGGCCAGGAAGACGGTTCCACTGGGTACATTTAGGCCTTTGTCATCACATCTGATCACTGAGTGTGAACCCCGAAACCTACAAGATGGAAGGAGAGAACTGACTCCCATAAATTGTTCTCTGACGTTCACAGGCAGGCTGTGCTATGATCTCTCTTTCTCTCTCTCTCTCTCTCTCTCTCTCTCTCTCTCTCTCTCTCTCTCACACACACACACACACACACACACACACATGCAAATACATGTAAAAATCATAATACATTGATAATTGAGTTGCTGACTTGAGGTTCATTAAGAAATTGTGCAATTAATGTTTGGCTGAGATGAAGACAATTCTCAACAATTTCTGTAGTGTCCCAAGGCACACCCCCTGTCATTCTGTGCTATGCCATGATGCAAAGTGGTACTGACAATAAGATCATAAAAATATCGATCAACTCTGAAAAACAGTGAAGCTACTCATGTCCTATCATATCAAATATTCAGTCAGGACTTAATTCTTCATGCGAACATAGAGACAAACACATCTAACTCGTAAGTAGCTGGTAAATTTGCTTTTGTCATTGAGAAGTAGTAAAATTATGTGTTTACCAAAGGATAGTTTTAAAGATTTGTGTGTGTGTGTTTCTGTGTGTGGGTGCAGTATGCATGCATGTGCACGAACATGCCTGTGGAGGTCAGAGGACAACCTTGGTGCCATTCCTCTGGCATCTTCCACCTTTTGTCTGAGACAGGTCTTCCATTGGCTTAGAACTTTACCAAGCAAACTAAGGCAGCTGACCCGGTGACCTCTGATCCTGCAGTAGCTGGAATTTCAGATGCTTGTTCCTGAGCTCAGCCTTCCACAGGAGTCCTGGGGGTCAAATGCAGGTTCCTGCTCATTTAAGTCAAACACCTTAGTGACTGAGTCATGGACCCTATTCTTTAAAATAAATAGACTTGTTATTATTATTAGTAGTAAATGTTTGGTGTGTTTATCTATTTTACATATACTTTGGGCAAAATTTTCCTGGGTGAAAAGGAGTTAAAAATGGAAGAAGTTTAAGAAGTTCTTGTCTAGAAAACAGGAATGAACTTGATTTCTCAAAATGAGCAAATCATTCTCAGACACTGGCTTTTGTGTTGGGTGAGGGACAAGATGGTCCTTTCATATGTAAATCTGTGCAGAGATCCGAAAAAGATTGGCCAGGACAGCAAGGACATGAAGAGCTGCACATTTTACAAATCCATTCAACCTGGGTCCAGCTTCCCATATGAATGAGGACCAGGAAAATCGTGCTCTCTGGGGGGTGGGGGTGTGGGCGGGGCAGGGGGATCAGTGGTCCTAAGGTTGGCTAATGTATTACAACCATCAAGAGATCATTCAAGGAGGGAAACACAGCAGTGAGCTGTTTGCAACATAAAAACCCTTCTGGTCCTGAAACTTGTGCTTAGGAATGTGGGTAGGACAAACTAGTAAGTAAACTATAGACAGGCAGAGAATGAAGGCAGCAGAAGTTAAAGCGGGTCTAGAGAGGATGTTTAAATGGCTCTCAGTAACGGTCTTACTAAGAAGATGATATCTGCAAAAAATGCCTTGGGTCATCTGGGGGAAGCGTGGCCTGGTGGCAAGGCTCTGAGTAGCAGGCCTGTGTGGCCAAAGTTGGAGATGGGTTACAGCAGATTTAAGTCACTCTTGGAGTGGCCTCAGAGGCATTTAAGGGGTTGAGTTTTTACTCAGGGTGAAGAAGCACTCAGTGAACACATGAGCTGTGGTTTAGTCTGGTTTGAGAGCTTATTTTGGGGGTAGCTCAACAGAACAAACTGTTAGGGAGCTTAGAACCCTGAAACTTCCATTCACTCCTTTCCTGGCATTGGGCCACCCTGGGCTTCATGATGGAACGGTTGGGAAGGTCAGAACCTACTTATCTCCAATTTCAACTCCAGTCAGGAGGAAAGGTTTCTAGGAACTTCACAGAGCCTAATTATAAACCCCCTCCCCCGTTATAGTCTCATTAGCATTGGAAAACTTCCAGGGTCGCCCAAGGAGCTTGGGAAATGATTCATTAGCAACCCGGAGTTGTTGCGTAGCCTAAGGGTGCTTTATAACCTCGGACAGCCTCAGTGACTTTATCTCTGAAATGGGACTAGAGATAGCCTTTCTAATTGCGTCACTTGAAAGCACCTCTTAAACGTCTCTGCGGCTTCCAAAAGTGTAACCCGCTCTGACCTCGCTCAATCCTTTTCGACTTTGAGCAAAGCACACCGCGTGGGTTTGTAGGTTCCATTGTAGGTGAGGACAAGGGTTACGACTCACCTAGCTTTCTTGACTGGCTGGGAGCAGCAGAAAGGCTGTGGGTAGGGCGGGAGGAGGTGCGGGGCTGCTGGGCGGAGTTGAAGAGCCTGACTCCCGGACCAGAGTCTGGAGAAGTCCTGCGGGCCCGCTGGGAGTGGAGGCGCGGGCCGGGCGCGGCTGCAGCGACACGATCGGGGCGGATCTGTCCCCGCCCTCGCTCGCGACCCCGCCCGTCCCAGGATCTCCCAACTCGCGCCGCGCGCTCTTTCTCCGACAGCTGCTCCCGGAGCCCTGTGCGCCGTGCTGTCCTGTGCCTTGCCCGTCTGTCCCCTCTGATTGTGTCTAGCGATGACCACCCAGCAGATTGTTCTCCAGGGCCCGGGACCCTGGGGTTTCCGCCTCGTGGGCGGCAAGGACTTCGAGCAACCTCTCGCCATTTCCCGGGTAAGAGAGTCTTGGGACGCGCGTGGGAACGGGGTGGTTTCGTAGGGTGGCGGCGCTCTGCGTCCCGGGGTGGCTGGAGCTCAGAGAGGATCGCGGTGGGGCGCATCCAGGTGCGCTACGCGCCTAGCGCTCAGTGCCATCCGCCACCCCTTCCCGACCGCCGCGCTCCGGGGCAAGCAGGCTCGCTGCGCTGAGTCAAGGCCAAAGACTTTTTCTTTCTGCGCCCCGGAAGCGTGGCGCGGCGCGGCAAGCAGACAAGCTTTGTGCCTGGGCGTGGAGATCTGGGGTTCCGTAAACCCTGTGCGCCAGGAGTTAGCACGCCTTCCTCTTCACAGTGAAAGAGTTGGGTAGAGCTGATCGGAAGCAAGGGAAAAAGTCCTGAAAGGTGAATGACAGTACAGAAGAGTTCCCTGGAAGGCGAATAGGATTTGTTTAGCTAACAACTGGAACAACAATTTTACGCTCTTCGGATTTGACCCATGGCTGGCTCTCAGCTCCGTAATGCCTTTCACAGGAAACATTGGAGTTGGGAAATAACCCCAGATAAACCTCCGCAGTCTCGCCCTGCCTAAAGTGGTTAGATCACCTTTCTGCCCTCCAGGTTATCCACGATAAGCCTATTTCCTTTTGGGGAAGAGTATCAATGGTGTGTGGAGGTGACTATTGAAAACTTAGCTGGGAGGGCCCGTGGCTCAATCGCAGACTGCTAGACCTGTGACCCAACCCTGTTGGGGGTTGAAACGCAACAGAATCAGGCTCAGTATTTAGAGGTCCACACTTTGGCCATGTGATCTGGGCCAAACACAAGGAATATGTTCCACCGAGAGTCAACAGTTTTAGATTTTTTTAGCCCCTTTAGATAGAAGGTGTGTGTGTGTGTGTCTCGAGTGCCGCATGGGGCCGGGAGTGTTACTAAATATCTTTTAATTAAGTAGAGAGAAAAACCTCAGAGGCACCACATTCCATTCTTTGGTACATTTGTGTGCTGAAGCTGACCTTAAACTTGCTCCCCAGTCTTGTAAATGTGTCTTTTTTTTTTTTTTTTTCCGTCGGAGGGGTTCTGGGTTGGAAATGAAAGTGAATGGTCCCAGTGGTTCCTTTTGACTTATGGCTATGCCTCCGGTAGCTGAAGGACTTAGGTGGGAGTTGTGGAAGCACTCAGCCTCCTCTTGGCTTTTCTGCCAACCTGAGTGCCTGTCACTCAGACTTTCTTACAGGTGGGCCTGGCCTAGGAAGGGGCTCTTGGATTATTCTACTCCAAATGAGCAGGCAGCCCAGTTTTAAGACTGGGTCTTCCACTTGCTCATCTTATCTTCCAGAGATTTCTTTGTTATTGGAGATGTGAGCTGTTTTCCCAGCCTCCCGCCACACTTTTCAAGCACGAGAACTATGCTTTCATCAATATGGGCCTCTTACCTCTAAGCCTGGCCCAGGACTGCACCCGACTGTGCCTGCCTAGTGTATCCTGGCAGACAGACTACAAATGCTTGCCCCTGGAGGGTACTGCCTCTGCACATTTAGAGTTAGTTACCTCATAGTCCAGTTGTTCTCCCTCTTTGTGTCTATAATTAACCTGTCCACCTTCTCCACTTCTGAGAAACGTTCCTTTTAGGCAGGGGAGGTTGGATTGGCAGTCTGTTGAAAGGATAGTCATGGCTTGTCATTTTGGCTGCTTCTAAAAAAGTCTTAATGCCAGCTGGGAGTATAGCTCAGTGATGCACTCGGCACGGTGTAGAAATGAAGATGGTATGGAGTAGAAAACACATTGCTTTGGATCTTCCTGAATTAATTATTAATTAATTAATTAATTAATCAATTAGTTAATTTTACTCTTTTCTTCCCTCCCCTCTCTCTCTGTCTCTCTTAGATAGAGTCTCATGTATCTCAAAATAGCTTTTAACTCTGTATATAGCCAAGGTTGACTTTGAACTTCTGATCCTCCTGTCTCTCATCTCCTGAGGATTGAACCCAGGCATCATGTATGCTAGGCCAGCAGTCTACTAATTGAGCTACATCCCTAGCCCCTATCAATGTATTTTTTTTTTATACTCCCTACTCGTGTTGAATGAACAGATGTCTGTGTGAACTCCTCAGACCTGAGAGGATACGGCTCTGGAGGGAAGCTCATCTTCATTAAGACTTCGGCAAACTTTTTTTTTTTTTTATTTGAAAAGTGAGAGTGACTCAGACACTGTGACTCAGTGTCACTTGTGATACTGGTTATAATCACCTTCACCTGACGACTTGGGGATGAGAAAGTGATTGTCATAAAGAGACCGTGACATGGGCTGTCTAGGAGCTGGTGTTGTCTGGAGTTAAGTTCTTATCCAAGCTGTACCGAAGGGGAGCACCCAGAGTGTATATTTTTTTAATCACTGCAGTAGGGTAATAGCAGCCCTTGGCTACCAGTTGAAGAATGTAGAGTGCTCTGTAAACAGTGAATAATGGTGAGGTGTGAGCGTTGCTAAAGAGCTCTGCCCTCCTTCGGGCTGCTGTGCGCTCCGTTTATCATCCTGGACAGATACAGTTTGCTAGCATGTTTCTTTTGTGGAAGGAGACTTTCAGTCTCCACACCAAAGCAAGCCATAAAATTAGGCAGGTAGAGGAGTGCCTCTTACTTAAATAACCATGTTTGCTTTCTCTTGCATGAATTATTCTGGCATTGGCTCCAGGCTTTTATGAAAGTTCTAAAGCAGAATGGAGTGCCATAGTTGTGTGTATTGGAGATCCTTTTTTTTTTTCTAAATGCATTTTCACTGATTATAAAATGAACACCTGTACAGTCACACCCTGACCAGGGTATATGATGACAGTACATAGAAGCTAGGTAATGTAGCCCTGTCCTGACATCCAGTAATTACTCTGTGCTTTTCTTCATAGTTTTACTGACTAAGTAGGCATCCTAAACACTAAATGCTGAATTTTACCTTTTTAAAAACAGACTTACACCGAGCATTTTATATGCACTGCGTGTTGGCTTCTAGTATTCCTTTATGCTTTTGTCTATGTTACTGTGAAAAATTTAAGACTCACAGCCCAAATTTCTAACTATAAAAGGATATAAAGTAGTTTTTTTTTCTATCTAGTATCTCATTTAAAAGATATTTAAAAGATAGTATCTCCTATCTTTGACTCCCTGATGTTGCATCCACTTAGTATTTAACTGCTTTCTGGAGTATTTTTCTGCAGCATATGTGTGTTTGTGTGTGTTAATGTGTGTATGTGTATGTTTTGCCTCCTCTTGTATATGTGTTTTTGTGTTTTGTGTATGAGAGTGTATGTGTGTGTTTCGCCTTCATTTATGCGCGTATGTGAGTGTGTATGCTTTGCCCCCCTTCATGTGTGAATGTGTGTGTATATGTGTGTGTGAGTGTGTGTGTGTGAAAGAGTGTATGTGTGTATGTTTTGCCTCCCTTTGTGTGTGTGTGTGTGTGTGAGAGAGAGAGAGAGAGAGAGAGAGAGAGAATGTGTGGGTGTGCGTGTGTGCACACATGTTTTCTCTCCCCTTGTAATTTCTTATTTCCTCACGTAGCTTTCAAGGGAAACCTTCAGAGAATCCACACCCATGCTGAAATTGCTTGCTGCTGTGACCTGTTGACTGTTTTTCTCTCAGGCAACTGACCAAAGACAGGAAGAGGTGGGGCCAAAGATAAGGGGGTGCTCTCAGTTGGAGCTGCCACTTATGTGCCCCTTGAGTCCTGGGGAACCCTTTGCTGAGAGCCTGTGGTTTTATAGTAAGTGCTTGTGTCCTTCCCCAAGGACCCCAAGGGGGTGCTTAATAATGGTTACTCTGTCGCCTGAAGGTCTTTTTTGATTTTCAAGAGGGTTATTTCCAGATTCAAGTAGATATTTACATCATTTCATAAAGGTTGGAAAAGCAGGGCTCATCAGTCAGGTTATAAAAAGGAAGACAAGTCTAAAACTGCCCGGTGTGTATTAAAGGCCCTGAGCTGCGTGCCTGCATTGTGTGCAGTAAATCACCTCAGAAGCCTCAGCCAATCCAGTTGATCAAGGCTGGGAGAAGGGAGGCAGATGAATCCAAGGGAATGGCCTGAGGAGGAAACTTGAGCTTTCTTTCCCCAGTCTCTAGGATACTGGGTTAATTTTCTTTTTAAAAATTAGTTTTGATTATTTCTTTAATTTTAGGATTTGTTTTACTTATTTATATATTTATCTATCTATCTTCTGTATAGGTGGTCTGCCTACAAGTATGTTTCTGTGCTATGTGTACCTTGTACGTGTGAAGGTCAGAAGAGGGTGTTAGATTCCCCTGAAACTTGAGTGACAGGTGGTTGTGAGCTTCCGTGGATGCTGGGAACTAAGCTAAACTAGTCTTTGGCAAGAACAAGAAGTGTTCCTAACTACTGAGCCAGCTCTCCAGCTCCATGCTGGTTAATTTTAATGAAGAATGAAACAGGGACTGTAGCTCTCAGATACTGCATCTGGGCGGTACTCTTCCCTATTAGGAAAGACACCCAGTGGTTGCTCTGCGTGTGTGTGTGTGTGTGTGTGTGTGTGTGTGTGTGTGTGTGTGTTGAATGGGGATGGGGGCGAGTGGGTGGGGCCCGGCTCAGGCTGACTTCCAAGCTACCTACTGTCCCCCAGGCCATGCCATGCAGATGTAGGGGAGAGCAAGACTGGCTGGTATCATTTACTTTTTGTAGACTAGGAAG